AAGTTTATGTCAGGGACAAAAACAGACATAAAGTTAACTGGATACGAAAGACCACTTCTGCTCACCCATTGCCATCTCCTGTTTTTGATGAGAGTCCAGGTAACTTTGAATCTCTTGAGTCTATTGATCTTGATACTCCTATTGATCTTAATGTTTGCCAAGAGAAAGGTTGTGAGATCTTGTACTCAACATCATATCTCAAATTTTTTGTCCTACTCTCATTTGTTGTCCTCATATAGAGCTTTGTGTCAAATATTTCCTCTATTAGCATTCTTAACCATTTTCGGGATGCTCTTGCTACCTTTGAGTGGAAACTTGCCATGATTGAGAAAATGAAAGCACTTAAGAAGAATGGCACTTGAGAATTGACAGAGTTACGTAAGGGCAAACGACCTGTGGGATGCAAATTAGTGTATACTATGAAACACAAAGCGGATGATTCTATTGAACGTTAAGAGACTCGACTTGTGGCCAAAGGGTTCACTCAGACATACGGCGTTGACTATTATGAGACCTTTGCACCTATGACTAAGATGAATTCAATCAAAGTACTTCTCTCTCTAGCAGCTACTCTAGATTGGCCACTTCATCAGTTTGATGTAAAGAATGCATTTCTCCATAGTGACCTAGAAGAAGAGGTATATATGGACATTCCTCCTAGTTTTGAGGATCATCAGACAGAGGGTAAAGTATGCCGGCTTCGGAAATCATTATATGATCTCAAACAATCTCCAAGGGCTTGGTTTGAGAGATTCACTCAGGCTATGCTTAAATATGGTTTCAAACAGAGTCAGGCAAATCACACCTTATTTGTGAAACATTCATCACGTGGTAAGACTACAACGCTCATTATTTATGTGGAGGACATAGTTCTTACAGGTGATGATAGTGAGGAAATCCGTCTATTGAAGAAATATTTAGCAAGCGAGCTTGAAATCAAAGACTTGGGGAGCTTAAAATATTTTTTGGGAAAAGAGTTGCTCGCTCCAAGGATGGGATATTTATCTCACAGAGGAAGTATATGCTTAACCTGTTGAAGGAAACTGGGATGCTTGGCTGCAAAGCCTGTGATACTCCATTGGAACCCAATCAGAAACTAGGGGATGATGAAGGAGGAGCAGTTATTGATAGGAGGAGCTATTAGCGATACTGAGTAAGCTCATCTACCTGTCTCACATCAATCCTGATATTATTGTTACTGTCAGTGTAGTTAGTCAGTTTATGCATGCTCCTCATCAGATTCACTTCAAGGTTGTCATAAGAATTTTGAGGTATTTGAAGTCTGCTCCTGGTAATGGTCTTTATTTTTCAAAGCATGATCATCTTCGTGTGGAAGCCTATACAAATGCTGACTGGGCTGGATCAATAACTGCTATGAAATCGACTTCAGGGTATTGCACCTTTGTTGGAGGCAACCTAGTCACTTGAAGGAGTAAGAAACAGAATGTGGTTGTCATGTCAAGTGCAGAAGCTGAATTTAGAGCTATGGCACAAGGGGTGTGTGAGCTCTTATGGATCAAGTCATTGTTGAGTGATCTAGGTATTGATCAGACGGACTCCATGCAGTTATACTGTGATAATAGAGCCGCCATCAACATCGCTCACAATCCGGTTCAACATGACAGGACAAAGCATGTTGACATAGATCGCCATTTCAATAAGGAGAAATTCACTAGTGTCACAATATGTACACCATTTGTGCAGTGTGGTGAACAACTCGCTGACATCCTCACCAAGGGAGTTAGGAGTAAGCCATTGCATGACATCCTAGGCAAGCTGGGCATGAGAGATATCTTCACACCAGCTTCAGGGAGAGTGTTAGAATAGCATATTATTAGTTGGGTTATTTTTCGATTGTAATTATTCTATATCTTAGAGCTCCCTTGTAATTATTAATCTTTATTAATATAAAAAGGGAATATTATCACAATCATTTCCTAATTTTGGTATTCTCTAAAATTATCACATTTCACATTCTCTTTAACCATCTTAAATTTTCTCATAAATTTAAAACATTTCTATCCATGGCAACTAACATTAGCCCACCATTCCCCAAAATTTTGTTTAAAAAATGGATGCTCCAACAACATGTTCTCAAATCTAAAAGACGTTGCTCCCCATTTTAATGGGCAACCCTCAATCACTATGGGACAATGATCTGAAATTAATTTAGGTAGCGACTCCTGCCTTAAATTGGGAAAAACCTCTTCCCACCCCCAAGGAGAATAAAAATCTATCCAGTCCACTACATGGCAAAATCTCTTAAAGATTAGACCATGTGAATCTCGCATTACACAAAGGACGATCCACTAACTCACATCCTCTTATAAAAAGATCAAAATCCCTCATACCCTTGTTAATTCTTTTCCCATTGAGCCTTTCTAAGATTTTCCTGACCACATTAAAGTCTCCCCTAAACACCACATTGGGGAATATAACCCATATAACTCCTCCCAAAATTCCTTTCTCCTCAAAGGCCTCTTAGGTCCATAAACCCCAGTCAACCACCGCTACGAATTGTCCTAAATCTAACAAAAGGTGTAAACTCCCCCACTACAGTTTCACACTCTAAGTCAACTCTCTCATTCCACATAACCAAAATGCCTTCTGATCTACCAATTGAAGGCATGCAAGCCCTGCCCCTATGTCTAACCCCCCGAATACTTTTCATGAACCACCTATCACACACTTCTACTTTAGTTTCCTAAAAAACCATAACGTCCAGTTGATGACACCTCAGAGAATCCTTAATAACACCCCTCTTTTTCCGAGAACCCAACCCCCTCGCATTCCAACTAATGATCTTCATTGGAAAACATTCCCATCCCTAACCTCCTCTCTCCTTCTCTCGTAATTAACCGAACATGATAAGTTCCTTAGCTCCCTAGCCCCTTCTTACTACTCTCTCTTTCCTTTCCACCAAATTTCCTCCTCATGGTCTTATTATTCTACTAAATGCCCCAAAAGTCCCCTTAATTCCCACTAGTGACAACCCCGTAACCTGAAGAAGCTGCATAAAGTGAGGCACCTGCTTCTCCTTAATGGGGCAAGTCTCATATTTGCTCAACTCCTTCAACCATCTTTCCGTTTCCTCCTCCCCTACCCCAAAAACATGTCCTCTCTTGCCAATATGATTATCCGAGACCCCATCGTGATTGTCATTCATCTGATCTTGAGAAATATTAGCTTACAAGGACTCAGACACAGTGGTAGACTTATTCACAATGGCCCTCGGAGTTCCATAGGCAACCCCTTGGTCAGTAATACCTAATGATGAGACCTCAAGAGCAGAACACAACAATTTGGAAACATGAGAAATTGAAACCCCACCCCTTACCCCCTCCCCTGAAGCAAAAGAGTTTGGAATAGCTTGTACCCCCTTATGAGAAGATGAAAATGTGATATCTTGGTTAACAAAAGAACTGAACTGATTCAGTGATTCAGATACCTTTTCAATGTCCTCATCCTCAATGGCACAATCTACATTGAAAAGACTATTGAGGTCCCAGTCTTGATCAGCATCCTCAACCCCCAGCTTTCCACTTCAAATTGTGAATCCGAGCTCTTAGATGACCCATACTCTTCTAGAGCTTGCAACACCTCATTAGCTTCAAAATAACCCTCTTCCACATCTTAAACCAGAGTTTCCGAAGCCTTAATAACCTCCACCAACTCCTTAGCCGCAGCCACTGGTATCTCGTTAAAGTTCAGAAAATCCCCACCTAATCTGTTCAGCTTGTCTGCCAACCCTAATTGTCCCTCCTTTGTGGTGAGCTCATCTCGATTAAGCTACACCAATGCATTGGATGGCAAATTGAATAATTCTGAGCCCATTACAGTTTGCAATCATGGCGAGACCCAAAATTAAATGCATAATGTCCAATACAGCCTAATCACAACCTATGAAGCATGGGTACTCCGAAAATGTTGCCGTACTCATACCAGGTACTAGTACACGTACCAATTAGGCTGCATGTGTACCAGTTAGACATGACACGTTGGGGACACAATAGGGTTGCATGTAACCTAAAAGACACTCAAATTTTCCAAAAACGTAAGACATGACACGTTGGGGACACATGCAAAACACATACTTTTATATATTTATAATGTCATTTTTTTAATATTATATATTTATTTTATGTCAAATATTTAATCTCATCAACCTTGGGTATGCTATTTTGGTAAGAAAAATTTTTGAAAAAAAAAATATTTGGGATGCATGTGTCTGCAACGTGTCCTCTATGTGTCCCAATTGTCCGACCCGTGTCCCAACACATGTTCATGTCCAACCAACGCATGTGGAACACCTGTCCGTGACCTCCAGAGAGATGTTTGTGCTTCATAGCATGTAACTGTTAGCCAACCCCTCAATATCCTTTGGCTTGTTCGGTTAGGGGAAAACTCTCTTCCCCTACATAACAAATCATTCATCCTATCTGCCCACCTTTTTACATCCACCACCACAGCACATTTGCCAGGACTTAGATGAAAAATAAATACATGAGTTACACAACATTGACAAATATAAACATTATTATACAAATGATTGCTCTATTGCATTTATAATCAAATAGAAATGTAAAGGGACCAACAGTGCATCTTCTTTTTCCCTAAATTCTTCTTTTTCCCTAAATTTTGTTCTCACCTTTCTCTCATAAATTCATAATGAGTGCATCTTCTTTCTCTCTTCTTGTTTTTTTATCTTATCCAACTATTCTATGCATAGATCCACGGATCTATCTAGTTGAACGATAGAAAATGAGCAATCAAAAAACTGAAATGCAAGTATGGGGGTTCCAAGTGCAGAAAGCGCACGATGTGTGTAAGCATGCACAATCCAAAAAATAATAATAAATAATAATTACAACATGATCACAACAAGCATACAATACAATTCACATGTTCTAAGACATAAAAATTCAGACTACGATGAAGAAGCACAGAATAGCATCCATTCATGTACAAAATCTAGCATATGCCCATTAACTAAACAAAATGTAACATAAGAAACTTTAATGCTTCAAAAGTTTATTAACCTCACAAAAGTGCAGATGGTAATCTCCCAGCTGCTTATCAGCCCATTTTTTAATAGGTAACAAGAAGGATTGAAGGAAAGTAAACTCTCGAACCCCCTCTTCTCTTTCAACTCTGGAAAGCAAGCTTTTTAATTGCAGTCTCTCTTGTGGGCCCCTTTGTTCCTTCAATGGTATTTTCTTTAACTGCTCGATGGCATGCTGCAAGATTCCTTGCTCACTTGTGATGACAAACTGCCATCATACATTCAAAAGGTGACATGAAATTATAACCACAAAGAATGATCTTTTAAGAAGGCTATTACTGGTTGAATATCAATATAATGAAACAAGGTCCAAAACAGAATATATAAATATCAAACACCTGATATAAATAACAGGAAAAGATATCATTAATGAACCCTGCACTAAAAAATTTCAGCACCCATCTTTTACTAACCATAAGAGATACTAGGATTACTAGCAGTCCTAAATGAAAACCACACCATCAGCCTTGAAGAGTAAAAAAGGGGTCAAAATTACTATATGGATTCACATGTGTTCTTTAGATTGTTCCGGTGCCCTGGATTAAGTAATTGTGTCACAGCAATATCATGCATACATTGAATATTTCTCCCAATTGATTATCATCATTTAAAAATTCATTATCAGGACATTCATGTTAATTACTAGTTTGGACACTAAAAACATAGGTTGCGTTTAGTAGAGCTTTGTAACTATGATTTGAAAGTATGAGTTGTATTTTGAGTTTGTGAGTTTTGGAATTATGATTTGAGTGTGGAAAATTTGTTTGGTGAAAGAGTTTTGAAAATAGTTTTGAAAAGAGTTTTGAATTGAGTGGGGAATTTTTGATGTGACATTTGATATTTGATACAAAAACTTACAACTCATAACCAAACATACAACTCAAAATTCTATTAAAGCACATAAAAAAAATTTAAAAATTCGGAAAATATTTTTTTCAAATATATAAAAATCAAATATCAATTGCCAAAAAAATATATATATATTTGCACTGTTCCGGTCAATCGGCAGGACGACCGGTTAGGCCAAATTTCAAAAAAAAAATTTGAAAATCGCGCTCTCAAACGGAGTTTTCTGCAGAGTTGTGGAAAATTAATTCCACTACTCTATCCAAACATCATATTCAAACTACCAAGTGGAAAACTCGTTTGAAAATGGTTCCAAACAGAGCCAGTTTCCACCTGTATTCCAACATATTTTGCACAAGAACATGTATGATTATTCTATTATTAAAAGCAAGTATGGGGTTCATGATGATGGTAGATTTTCATGTGGTTTTGAGGGGTAATTGTCGATCACCTTGGAAGTCGATATCCCATATTTTTCCTCTTTTCTCTAGATTTCTTTCTCTAAGGGTGGGTAATGGGGAGTCAATTCAGTTTTGGGAGGATGTGGGTCGGAAATTCTTCTCTTGCTCGGATTTCCAGGGTCTTTACAGGATTGCAAATTCTCATGGTAACTCTATTGCATCGTTGGCATGTTCTAGTTTGGCTCCCATTGCATGGAATCTTAGATTTGCTAGAAATCTCACTGATAGGGAGGTTGGGGATTTAGCCTCCTTGTTATCTTGTATTGAGCATTTGTCGTTGGTCTCTTCCTTGAGTGGTAAATTGGTTTGGATCCTACACACCTCCGGTGTTTTTTCTTGCAAATCTTTTTGCAAAAAAATAATTGAGAAGCCAAATGTCCTGTTTTTCCCTCTTCACAAAAGAATCTAGAAGTCTTTTGTGCCTCTCAAAGTGAAGGTTTTTTTATGGTCTTTGGTTCATGGAAGCATCTTGGCCAATGATGTCCTTCAAAAGAGGAGGCCTAATCGTCATCTTTCTCCTCAATGGTGCATTGTGTGTAAGGGAGAGGGGGAGACTCTAAATTACCTTTTTTTACATTGTCCAGTGGCAAGGAGTTTGTAGTAGCAGTTCTATTCATGGGGCGGTTTTGTTTGGGTGGCACCTGAATCATGTAGTTCAATGCTCTCTGTTGATTTTCGATTTATGGGCTTAAATAAAAAGGCGAAGGTGTTGGGGCTCTGTGCAGTTTCTGCTCTTTTCTAGGTCATATGGTTGGAAAGGAATGCAAGAATCTTTGAGGATAAATGTATTGATGTCTCTTCGATGTGGGAGAAAATTAGATTCTTTGCATCTTTATGGGCTTTGGTGGCTCCCCCATTTAGTGGAATTTCGCTTTTTTTTATTTCTAGCGATTGGAAGTCCATGTTTGATTTTTAGGTTTTTTGGTTTTTGCTTTTGAGGACTTCTTGTCCTCTTTTGTACTCCTTTTTTCTCTTTTCTCCATTTTAATAAAATCTTCTTTTGTTGTTGATCGGGGAAAAGAAAAAGAAAAAAAAAGAACATGTATGATTAAAACATTATGGATTCCCTAGTTGTGTGCCCATAATTTTTCTACATCTGCACATGAAAAATCTACACAACAATAAATACTAGTATGTGATCAACTTAGTGTTACTATACAGAAGTTTTAAGTCAAGTCAACACTGCCATGTGCCTTAGTCCTTGTTAAATTAGTAATTGCGATTAAAAATATTTTAGAAACTTAAAAAAATATAAATATGTGAAGCCAGCAAAATAAAATTAACGACAACATCCAGATGATCTTAGTTGAACGAGCACAAGAAATTCTTGGATAACGTAAGTCCACATCAGAATAGACATACAAAGCCATCTTGGATGCATAGTGAAAGAGAATCAAAGAAATTTGCACACTTATCAAATATGCTTATATAGTCTAAAATTCTAGTTCCGATTTGCATAATTAAATTTCCAAATGATACAGAAACAGATAAGCAATACTGTTCATCTCCTATTCATAATCACCGATTCAAGTGCTCATAGCTAGTGGTGTTCAAAAAAAGAGGTCAAACCATAAACAGATGCAAACCAGTCCAAACTGTATGATTTGGTCCGGGTTTTTTTAGGGGACATTTTGGCTCCAGTTCCAAAAAATTAATAACTGTTGATTATAATTTGATACACAGATTAAGTCTCAAAAAAACCAAAAAAACCGAACTGAACCATTCCATGTATTTGTTAATTTTAATAAGTATAGGGTGTTCCACAAGGTAGTAACTCTTCTCATTCCGACATCAATAAGACTTTCATTTATCCAAATTACAAAATACTGTGTGTACAACAATATATGCATATTTGTTTTTCACTATTTACATAATTTTTGCACTCCATCTATCATTGAAAATTGCATTTTTATAGTAATTACTGTATAATATGAAGAATTTGTTTTGTTTGAACACATTTTATAAAAATTAGATTGGAGAATATGCTAAGAATTTTAAGTATGGTTATGAAATTTTTGGAATGCTAGTATAGGTAGAACTAACTTTTTTTTGTTTTGATTGGCACTTGGGTATCCAGATCAAAGCCCAACTAATCCCCACGGGTGCACAAGCCCTCGGCAAGGAGCTTCCCACAAGGGCACCACGGTTAATTCAAGGGTCTTCCCCTAGTCCAATGTCCCCAAGGAATTGTTAGCACTTAAGAGGTTTCGATCCCTAAACTTTGGAGGGAGCACACCCCCAAGACACAAGGCCTTGCCACCAGGCCAACCCCTTGGGGTTTGGTAGAATTAACTTTTATTGAACTAGATAGTCTAGATATAGTGATGAATTTGCTAGCCTAGAACCGTGGAACCGAGCCGAAACCAAACTAGTTTTTGTGGTTTGGTTCTAGTTCAGTTCCAAGCGCCCCCACACACCCCCCCCGTCTCTTCCTTGCCCCCCCGGTGATAACTTTCCTATAAAATTGGACAAAAAAATTAACAACTTTATGCAACGTGACATTAAATAGAAATTTGATGGCAATACCTGACGAAATAACACCCATGCATAGCAAATGTAGTGGATGGTCTCTGTGATTCCCAGAATCCGCCACGTTGATTTCAAAAGCTCAAGAATTTCTTCAACTTCCTGGACATAATATGATCAATTGTTAGTACAATTTAGCAACTTTTCATATTTAGTACAGAAAAATTGTACATGTGTAGAGCTTGGTCTCTACTTTCATTTTCATTTCTATCCAAAATTTAAACTCTAATTTTCTTAACTAAACGGTAAAATTTTCACACATATTAGAGAATTCAAATTTATGTGAATTTGAACTCAAACTTTTTACATTGAACCCAACTATCCTTGCACAAAATGACTTGAAGAATTAAAGAATCCAAAAGTTCGGTAAAATTTTGAGCCTTCTTAAACTCATCATTGACCTGAAATGAGATAATCACAAACCTCTGTAAGTTTTCCCTCATCTAAGACATCAAACACACTGAGAAGCAGTTTCTCATATAGTCTGACATTTAGGTGATAACCATCTGCCCAGTGGCACACTTCACCGGTTAAGTCACCTCGTGCTGGCCTCTCTGCAAGTGGAATGCAAATCTCTCTGAGAGATCTCAAGCATTCTGTCCGCTGGAGTTCACCTGTAGAGGATGGAAGTGACTGACACAAAATAAAGAAACAAAATCAGAAAAACCTTGATAAGAAAAAGATGGTGGACAAGTACAAAACCTGCAAAACATGCACATAATTGCAAATAATAATCATAATAAATTTTTACACCAGTCACCAAATTATGAGTAGTTAACATAACATATTTAATAATCAAACTTACAACCATGGATAGGAAAAAAAAAAAAAAAGACACTACACATTTTTTATGTAAGACCATGCATCTCATTATTAAGAAAGAACCCCCAAATTCCTTAGAAATTGACATATGAGGATGACATCAATGCAACTAAGCATTATTTACAATAAATAAATAAAAATAAAAATCTTAACTTTAAATTTTAAGCAGTGTAGAAACAGTAAAGATTAAACCACCAGAGCTTCAAAGAAGGAAAGGAAAGCAACTCTTTTGCTGCCAACTATAAGGTAATAGAGAATCAGAGGAAGGAAATAGCAACAGAAAGAAGAAAGAGGAAAAGCTCATATGCGTTCTGACACCAACAAAACCTTTCTGTTATCTTCTGCTACCAGCCCAAAAACACATGACTAATTGGGGAATCACGTTCAAAAAGTAAAATATTTGGATATAAGTATCACATTACTATGGAACAAAACAACTTAAGTACAAAAATATAGATATGAAACTGACAACACAGAGATGAATTCTTTTGAACAATAAACAACAATGTACAGGTTAACCAAGACACTTGTCAAACATAACCTAATGCATGAATTCAAACCTATGAGAATTTGTTACCAAAACAAGAGTAGAAAAAATAATACTAATTAGATATTAATTAAAGTGATCTATCACCATTTGGGACAATGAAATGCACACCTCAGATTCCTCTATCTTTGCCAAAAGAATCCTCAGTTCACTAGCCTTGCGCCCGGATTCACCAAATCCCACAATAGGGTGATTTAAAAGCCCCTCCTCCAACATGTTTAACTGAACTGACACAAAATTGAAAACATGTAATACAGGTTGTAAGTATATATATCAGCAAAACTTCATTCTTACCAGATAAGTAAGTTATACTTCCCTGTCCCAACTTTAAAAAAATAATAATAATAACAATAAAAAGGGAAAAAACAAAGAGCAAGAGTTCACTTGTCTTTTTTGCCACCGTATATACGCTTTCTTGTCAGGAAACTCCGTTCGCGAAATGCAACACAGTAATTCCAAAGGTATCAAAAGAGTGTCCATTCTTTTTCCCACTTTTCCCACCAGTGCATTAAGCAGCCCTTGTCTCGTTCTAATGTCCATTGCTTCAGAAATCTGAATTTGTTCACACAAATGGGAAAATAAATCAACATTACCATGCAAGTGAACAACAAATACAATAGACTATATATTATAACTCTGTTGATTGGAACCATAGATCCACCAGGTACATAGAAACATAGCATTCCCATGCACAAGTGACTGAGTACATTTACTTGTTGAAAAAAAAAAAGAAAGCAGTGGATACATTTACATTGAACCAAAACACTCAAGTGAACAGTGCCCCAAGAGATTCAGGACCAAAAACACGGGCTTGAGAAAATGTTTGTCAACAATCAAAAGATGTAAACCACTTATGAAGCCTCTGTTTAGTTTCCAAGCCATCCTTCAACAATCGTAATTTGTCTTAAACATGCCAGTCATGTTTAAATTCTTGTACTTAGGGACAGTTCCAAGAAAGAAGTAAAGGTCGTAACCAAGTGCAATGGCAATTGTTATCCGTCCCCAACCTTGTGGCACGGGTTCTCTCCACAAAAAAGTGGGAGAAAGACTGTCCCCCATCTATTACCTCTCCCAGACCCTGTTGTAAGCAGGAGCTTTGTGTACTGAATACAACCTCTTTTTCAAGTTCAAAATAAGGGATATGTTTACAGAAAATTATATGGGTGACAGAAAAATTTCATCTAGCACAAAGTCGTATAGAAAAGGAAAAAATTACTTCATAAGTATCTCAGTTGAATACTTGAAGCAGGAGCTTTGTATACTGAGTGCAACCTCTCTTTCAAGTTCAAAATAAGGGATATGTTTAGGGAAAATTATATAGGTCACAGAAAATTCATCTAGCACAAAGCCATAAAGAAAAAGGCAAAATTACTGCATAAGTATCTCAATTGAATGCTTGGTGCAACAAAGGATTTGAAATGGAGTTCTTTAAAAATTGGAGGTCTCAACCCTAATGGTTCAAGAATACTAGTCAAATCCCCTTTTCTCATTCAACATCTTCTTTCAGCTGATCATGTATTTTTTACTTTGAATGATGTAAACAGCTTTGTTTGTATAATTCTGGATTTTTCTTTTCCTTTCTTCTTTTTTTTTTTTTTTTGTAGTTGTTGTTTTTTTTTTTTTTTTTTTTTTTTTTTTGTAGTTGTTGTTGTCAGTATTGTTCCGGATTCTTTTTGGGTGTATATATACTTATTGCAAAGTAATTTGAATGAATAAAATGGAAAATGATGACAATAGAGCCCAAGCGATGTATATAAAGTAAAAGACAAATATACCTATATATCAATTGTAAACTCCATAGTGTACACAGAGTCCGGGAAGTTATCCAATGGAAGGTTTAACCCCATGTGTACCCTATAATTATGTGTTCTACCCGATCTTTCTTTTCCTTCTCCAATAAAGTAGTTATAAAAAAATATAAAAAATGAAATGGAGAAATATGTAGGATTTGCATACAGAGAGGGCAATAACACAAGCTCAAAGGGATCAAAGATGGAGGGCGAGGTCAGGGAGGAAAAAGGCTTTAAACATGAAGACATTTTTGGCAAGATATTCAGCCCACAGCTGTCAACCATATCTTCTTTTCCTTACCATTCTTAGCAAGTAGACATGACTGAGGACTGCCAAAACAGGGCAGAACCCATGCACACATGAAGCATAATGAAGCAAACATAAATAAACTAAGCCATATCAAAAGGAGAAAAGCCTTGTAAAAACGCCCTGAAACAATCATCAAGACAAAAATTACTTGACAACCCAAAAACTTTGTGGTCAATATCAATTGATTATGTTAATAAAAAGAAGAGCAAACTTCACTACCCCCTACGGTTTGAGCCATGTATGGCTTACCCCCTAACATTTGGAAATGACCACATAACCCTCACGTGGCTTGTGGACTAAAGTGCACCGTTAAACATTCTGTCCAACTTAATAGCAAGTGTGAAACATGTCGCAGACATAAGGGGTGATATGCTCAATTTTAAATTTCAAGGGAGTAAATCCCACATAAAATAAAGCGCAAGAGGTTCAAGTGCACTTTGCCTTCCAAGCAAATGACAAAAATATCCATAGTTCACACTTAAGTTACTTATATAAAGGGGTATAGTGTTTTTTTCATTAAATCGTAAACAGCCTAACAGTGCACTTCAGTCCACAAACCATAAGAGAGTTATATGGTCATTTCCAAACGTTAGAGGGGTAAACCACACATGACACAAACTACGGTGGAGTAAAGTGAAGTTTGCCCTAAAAAGAATCTCCACAACTTACAAAGTTCCCCTAAATTGACCTTTCCATACACTCCACAACAGGAGTAATAAATTTAATAAATCTCTCCAAAGGTTAAAAAAAGGGGGAAAGGAATAAAATGGAAGCCAAAGACTAAAATTAGAACAACATAGATCCGAAAAAGTAAAGACAAGATTATCAAACAATGCTCCATCACCCACCAAATCATGTGCACAACAAAAGGAGAGAAAAATAAAATAAAATTAAGAAGATAGCAACACGAATGACTAGAGCCTGATGACAAGAACACTCATAGGTAGAGCTACAATACACTATAAAAACCGTAGTTCTTAAGCTTCATTTTATTTTTATTTTTATTTTGTTCTTTCATTACACAATTTATACTTTAATTAAAGGTAAATTACACTGACCTCTCCTGAGGTCTTGAGAAAATACAATAATAAGTCCCACAATTTTGACATAATTACACTGAGACCTCCGCTTTAGTAAGGTTTAATGGATTGAAACTAATGCAAATGACGGGAAAGTACAAAAATAAACAATGTAAAATATACATTTTCATGAAAAAAATATGCTATTTTTTCATTCATATAACTAATAAATTATTGATGAAAAGGAGGCTAAATGTTATGTGAATTAAAACTTTAAAGAAGCTCAATGTAAGTATATCAAAACTATGAGGCTTAATGTATTTTCTCCAAACCTCAAGGGAAGTTAGTGTAATTTACCCTTTAATTAATTGCAAACTATACCTATAAATCCTTCCTTTAGGAGTTTCAATATTTGAATCCTTGAACCCAACTGCTTCCAATTTGATTGTGACTCAGGCTTTTTTTAAATGAAAATTATAGCCTTTTGTTCTCAATTCTTTCCCAATTTAAATCTAGAAAATAAATAATTTGTTGTCACTTAAATATATGAACACATACTTATTTGCTGTTATATTCCCACCATGTTCGTGTCCTAAATATTTTCTAGTCATGACATGCCTGTAGGGATGGCAATGGGCGGGGAGGAGTGGATTTTACCCTCCCCACCCCCAATCTCTGATTTTTATTTTTTCCCCATTCCCATCCCAAACCCCCAATGAAGACCATTTTCATACTACAACCCCCGCCCCTAATGGGGATTGGTTTTCCCCACCCCTAACATCCCGACCCATTCATAAGTTTTGTTGCTTTGCTTCATTGCTTTGCTTTAGTTTTTCTTCTTTTTTTTTTTTAGATTTACTTTGCGTCAGGTTCATATCTCCATAATAAATAAACAAAACAAAAATAAAAAAATAAGAATACAAAAAAGTGAGTGAAAGGGATAAATTGATTAAGGTTGTGTTTAGTTCATGGATTTCGAGATAGATTTGGACAGATTTCATACACATTTTCTTTTTTTCTTTCCAAATCTCTCCCTAAATTCATGAACCAAACACAACCTAAAAGAAATAATTTTCAAATTATTGAAATGATTTCATATTAAGAAAACATTAATTAAAAATGAACTAAAAATTGTGTAGATCATTCTAGAGAATTTTTCTACTTTTACACTAAGAATAAATTGATTTAGAAAAAATAATTTTTGAAGTGTATAGGTTGATTAGAATGTGTTAATTCAAGTGAAATTATTTATTTTTAGAACATAATAATTTATAGTAAAAATTTCACAAACTGTTTGCAATTTTTCATTTCAATATATATATTATATTAATCATTTTCTTAGTGTAAAATCTAAAATTAGGATTACTTACTCATTGAATTACATTGACTTCATTATGAGAGTTGCAAGACTTAGATGAAAAAAATTAAAGTTTGAACATCGCATTAAAAATTAAAATAGAGTAGGAGGATTTAAATAAAAGAATTAAAAGTTTGATAACCACATCAAAAAATTTCTCAACTATCACCATACCCAACCCTATGGGGAAAGAAATGGTGAAAACGCTCCCCAATAAACCCAAGTTGGGTCGGGCCTCATGAGGTTGGGTTAAATTGTCATTCTTAGGTGTAGGAATGGCAATGGGGCGGGACGAGTTTTACATTCCCTGCTCCCAATCCCCGATTTTGATTTTTTTCCCGTCTCCATCCCCGATCCCCAATGGGGACTGCTTTTATCACCACCCCTGCCCCTAACGGATTCGGTTTTCCCAAACCGCACATCCCACCCCGTTTCTCCTTGTCCATGAGAAGATTCTATTGTTCAATTTAGGAGTACTAATCATTACAAAGAAAATAAAAATTTAAGAAGAGACAAAAGTTTCTATTGCTTCAATTTATGAGTGAATAGACCATTCTTTCCTTATTTTTCATTCAATTTATTAGTAGACATTAACAATTAAATTAAATTGTCATAACTTAAAATTAAGATACAAAATTGATTCAATTGTAACTATAGGATTAAATTGACACAATAGGTAACCTACAAGGACCACATTTGTAGTTTGCTCAAATGGTGTAATAAAACTATTATCATCTTATATTTATCAACTCATAGATTACTTCTCTTAAAAGACATCTATGAATTAAACTTTCCTTTGTAAGTACTTAGCTATGAAGTAACCACAGCTATTTATTTCTAGGGTTCTGAATGCTCTTCCAAGGATTGAATTCATTCAACAACTTTATAGCCTCTTCTGTTTGATATGGTAAGCAACCTTACATACAGTCGTCCACATTCAAAGATGCATTGGTATTGATGTCTAGAATTGGAAACACTCTTCCATTGGTGGTTTTCAACCAAAGTTTGCATATACTTTAGAGGCACGAAATGCTCCTTCAGCTTCCTTTGCATTGTCTCCCAATCTCTAACCTTTT